GCTTTCCCGGTCCCGACTACGCCCGAGAAGGCCTAACAGTTGATTTAGAGGCGGCATCCAAAACCAATCCAGATTAAGTGGCCATGTGGCCCCAGAGAGGCCAGGCGTGCTCGGCCTGATCTGTCTCTATCCTAACGGCAGACAGACGGAACTACAAAGCAGAAATAAAAACCCTTTCTATTCCTCATACTCCCCCGCTCCCAATTCTCCTATAATCCCTCTGCAGGTTTCCTCTCTACCGCAGGCACTGCCCCCCCCATCCCCCCTTTGCTTTATACTCCAGCTCTGCCCTCCTCCCCTCCTCAGGAGTACAGCTGGAAGTAGTCCGGGGAAGGAGAATTTGCCTGGAAGCCAGAAAATAGCAGTGGGGGAGGGGAGCAAGGCCTGAACCAACAGCTGCATTCCAGACTCTGGAACCTGGCCAAAGAATAGTGTCTTGAAGCAAACGACAGGCCAAAGCCTTCTACCGACATTTGATCCTTCTGGTTTGTGTAAAGGGTGCTGCTAAGACAAAACCTTTGAATTAATGAAGAGTCACTGTCACCCTCTCCTATACTCCCAACACCAGCACAAGTGTCAGTCATCATCTTGTACATAAAACATGCATGATGTAGAAACAATCTAATTGCTATTTTTTATGTGCACTGATAGTAAGAGATGCATGGATTCTATAAAAGGCAATTGATCTGTGTCATCTTGAGAGGGCACAATTCCCATCTCTTTCTTTGACCCACTAGATCAGCAGAGGGCCTCCTATATCAGATAAATGCTGAGATAGCTTTCACGCACAAGTCCTTCGTAGAATTCCATGCTGCATGTTAGAAGCTGCCTGATCACATGCCTCTACAGCTCTCCACTTTGACATCAGGCTATAGTGGGAAACTGCCAATCAGAATGGAGACCCCTACACCATGAAATACATTTTTCCAGCCATCATTTCACTCAATTTGTTTCCAACACTTGGTTCAGAAAGCAGGAGCTTCCTTCACTTGGGTTTTATTTATTTAGAACACTTCTATGCTGTCTTTCTGCCAAATTTAGAGTCCCCAAGGCAGCAAACATTAAAAAGCATTTAAAATGCACATAAAAACACATGACCAAGGAGGAAGACTAAAACTGGACAGCCAACTTGAGCAGTCTGGGGAAAGCAGTGAAAGCTCTCTATGTATTTGCTGGGCTAAAAGCTAACCTGGTGTTTGAGCAAAACGGCCGTGAAGGGTCCTCCTCCTCTGAGGTTAGGAGGACATCTCCATGGGTTATTCCCATCGTTGCTGTCTTTCTGCCAAATTTAGAGTCCCCAAGGCAGCAAACATTAAAAAGCATTTCAAATGTGCATAAAAACACATGAACAAGGAGGAAGACTAATAGCTGGTGAGAGTTGTTAGGGTGCAGTTTTTTACCTTTTTAAACTGGACAGCCAACTTGAGCAGTCTGGGGAAAGCAGTGAGAGCTCTCTATGTATTTGCTGGGCTAAGAGCTAACCTGGTGTTTGAGCAAAACAGCCATTGGCACTTACCGTGAAGGGTCCTTCTCCTCTGAGGTTAGGAGGACATCTCCATGGGTTATTCCCATCGTTCCCTTTAGGGAGGCAGGAAATACTTTTTTCTCCTTCCTGTTGGCGCCTTGGGAATAGCCCTGCCCCTCAGTTCTGGGACTCCGTAAGCAGTGAGTATCAACTAAGGCTAACTCCCCTGCGCCAAGCAGGTAAACTTCAAACATTAATTGTGGAACTATAAAAACAGTACAAGAACTCAGAAGAAGAAGAAGAGAACAGCACAGTGAAAAAGGAAAAGACGATGGTGAAAGTGGGAGGGCCGAGATGTCCTCTTAACCTCAGAGGAGAAGGACCCTTCACGGTAAGTGCCAATGGCCGTTCTTCCTCTGCAGTGGAGGACATCTCCCATGGGACCTCCAAAAGCAGTGTCCCCTATATGGGTGGGTCATCATCGTCAGCCGAAGGGAGAATGTGCTGACGCAATCGTGTTTAGCTTGTAGTGATGAATTAAGGTAACGTCCAAGTAGCGGCCTTGCAGACCTCCTCGACTGATGCTCTATTCGTGAATGCCGCATTGGTTGCCACACTTCTCAAGGAATGAGCCGTGATCCCTTTGGGAATTTCCATTCCCGACGCCTGTCGAGCACTCGGGAGGGACTTGCCTCACGACGTCTTCTGGCTCCACAAAGGAACAAGAAGGAAAAGGCAGAGTAAAGAGTAGGGGGAAAGAAGCAGATAGAGAGAACTCTAAGGGGGAAAAGGTAGAGTAAAAGTAGAACAAGTTAAAGGAGAAAAGTAGATGGACAAAAACGCAGAGCAGCATCATTATCGTCCAGCAGGTGAAGAAGATAAAGAGAAAGATGACAGTACCAAGGAGAGTAGGGCTATTCCCAAGGCGCCAACAGGAAGGAGAAAAAAGTATTTCCTGCCTCCCTAAAGGAACAATGGGAACAACCCATGGAGATGTCCTCCATCTCAGAGGGAGAAGATGTTGTTCACACAACTGAGACAACCTGGCATTGTATCCAAAGGATCTTTAATAACCATCCTGTTATTGACAGCTAAGTGTGTACTCCCAAATTATGCAACACTGCGTGGGCAAACAGATTTCAGACTGCCTGAGAAAAATGCCCTCTCCCTTCACCAAGGACTACATTGTGCTCTATAAGAACAGACATCAGTAGAGACAAATTATCCTTTCACCAAGGAGGAGACATGGGCTGAGGGTTTTGCAGATAGGACATCACCACAGCAGAGATAGACAGCCTGGAGATGAGAGAGGGAAAGACATAAGTAGAGCACAGTCCTACTATTACTCTGTCAATAGCAACCAAGTTTTGATATCAACAAAATGAATTATGAAATATGAAGGAAGGACCTCAAAATGCATTTCAGCTCTAAGAACCTTTATAAGATAGGTTTGCCAAAAACCTTTGCCATACTACATGTTACATATTGAACGATCAATTTCTTGGCTTCTACTTTGATCATTCTTCCCTTATGAAAGTACTATGTACTGCTGCCCTTAGGAGGTGTGCACACTCACGCAGGGAAGACCATTGTAAGTAAGAGATGAAAGGTGCCACAGAAGGAGGGAGGCCCAGTTGTAAAGGGGGGCATGGCTCAAGTTGGCACAGCATGACCTACACAAAAGGAAGTAGAAATAAATATTCTTTGCAGTGAGACTGTGGTTGCACAGAAGAGTAGACTATATAGGGGCTTCCAGGCATACCTGCATATAGAAGGTAGCAGAAGGGTACCTCATGTTTTACAGTTGCTTCAAAAAGAAAATGTAGTGCTGACTGCCAAATGGACATTGCATTTTTACATGGTTTTAACTCCCTTAGGTATTTATGAAAGATAATACCTTCTCTTTACTCAGTAGTAGTGATGAGAAATTTAGCCAGGAATTAATAAGATGGTGAAAGAAATGAATAGTTGTCTTACATGAAGCTGCTCATCATCTGTTTGGTGTCTTCTGAGCTCCTCGAGTTGGCAAAGCTTATAAATGAGCAGTAGACAGCAATCCATGCACACCACTTGAGCTGCAAAAACCCATGGGGTAAACTCTAAGCTGCGGTGGCTCAAGTGGTTAAGACGCTAAACTGCAGGCTGTGGAAGGTTGGTAGTTCAGCAGTTCGAGACCCGAGTGTGCCGCATGACGGAGTGAGCTCCCGTCTCTAGTTCCAGCTCCTGCCAACCTAGCAGTTCGAAAGCAAGAAATTGCAAGTAGATAAATAGGTACCACTTTGGTGGGAAGGTAACAGCGTTCTGTGCGCCTTGGTATTTAGTCATGACGGCCACATGACTACGGAAATGTCTTCGGACAGTGCTGGCTCTTCGGCTTTGAAATGGAGATGAGCACCACAACCCTAGAGTTGGATTCGATTGGCTTTCGAGCAAGGGAACCTTTACCTTTACTTTTACATCTCCACTACAGGTATAAAACTATCAAAAACATTCACCCTTGCTTATCTAGTGAAGACAGGAACTGATTTCGGTTTTAAAGAGGGATAGTTTCGCTAGACCAAGCTCACTCAAACTCAGTGGCCACACAAATGATAAAATATACCTGACTTTAGAAAATTGTATGTGTGCTATGTGTTATCAAGTCACTTCTGACTTACAGCAACAAACTAGGAACGTATTAACAGTACACCCATAGCTCTCAAATGATAAGATGAACACATGATCCCTGGGCACTGAACCTGGGGTGTTCAATGTGTTCACAAGTAGCACAAGTAAAACTTACAGTGACTTGAGAACTCAAGGGGAAAAAAGCATGCAACTGTATGCGTTTGTAATCTCATTTATGTCAGAAAAACCAATGACAACAGAGAACCCAAACAGAGAGATCAGGAATTAATCAGATGTTCATGTAGTAACGCACAAATTCAAATAGGTATCAATATATCTAATTTTCAACATGATTGGAATGTGCCCGAAGGCATAATCTTCAAATTTAAGGACAAGAAAGAAAAAATTGATACTGCAGGAAAGGCATTGGAGTTTTTGCAGCATCATAATCTTGGGGCTGCAGCCCCCCAAAAAGCTCATCAGTTGAGAAAGAAAAAGGATAGATGTTGAGTTGTTATTGTTTCTAGAAAGCCATATGAGTATTAACTATTTCTTATATTGTTCTTTATTAAGTCAAATGCGCAGGTGTTATCTATTGTTTCGATTACAGGATGAAGACCATGATTGACCACATACAATGAACTTTAATCGAACTTTAAGCTAGAAGCTAATTTTATAAGCATTATGTATGATCACCATCTCTTGGGTTTTTAGTGGGTTTTCTTTACTTTTTCCCTTAGATTGTAGTCCCCTCCCTATTTTCGTTGTAGTTTTTAGAAAATGCAATGAATTTTTTTTTTCTCAACATGATCACATCTGTGGCTATTTAAATCTGAAGACAGGAGCCATGAACAATCAAGACATGTTTTTCTATAAACCTGAAAAAGACCCAAGTTTGCAAAAAAGCCCTGAAATCTAAAAAACAAAACAAAAACACTGAGGGTTTTGTTTTTTTGTTTTAAACCCAGTAATAGACCCTTTAAATAATAACTGCTTGAAGAAACAAATGCCCTCTGTGGCCAACGCTGGGCAACCACAACAGCACTGTTAGGTCAAGCCTTGGTTTCGGTCAGTAAAAGGCATGGGGAGGAGGCCCCTTCCAGGGCTGTTTGGCCTTTTAGGAAGGACTCACTGGGGGCAGGCCTGGCAGCAACCACCAGGCAAATTGCTACCACACAATTTGCATGACTTACCCAGACCTGGCTGCTTGCTACTGTTCAACAGCAGCCACCCCATGAAAACCAGAGTGAGCTAATGGTCAGTGTGTCAGATTGGGATGGGGGGAACCTGGTTTGAATCCCCACTCTGCCACAGAAGCCTGCTGTATGACCTTGGGCCAGTCACACACTCTCAGTCGCAGCTACATCACAGGGTTGTTGTGAAGATAAAATGGAAGGGGATGATGTAAACTGTTTTGGGGGCATTGTGTGGAGAAAGATGGGTATAAATGAAGTAAATATAGCTGAAGATAGGCGGGAGAGATAAAATGTAGGTTGGTCGGTGGGGGGGCAGGAGAGAAGGAAGCAAGGAATGGTGAGCATATGGGGGCTGCCTGGAGAAGAGAAAGAAGAAACAGTGTTGTGTAGGGGAAACTGAGCTGCCACTTGCAAGTCCTTGCAGGTTCCCCATCACACAACTGGGCCTGGCCCAGCTGCCCACACCATGCAACTTGGTCAGACATTTCCCAGGGAGAGGCTACCAGGGGTAGGGAAGGAGGGAAAACTGAAGACAGGTGTGTGTGTGGGGGGGGAGACAAAGATCGGTTCACTGGTGGGTGGAAAGGGAAGAAAGAGGCAGAAAAGGAGGATAGGATATCAGGGTTTTCAGGGAAGGGAATGAAGAAACAGTGGGAGGGCAAAATGAGACCCCGCCCATGTCCATGTGGTCCTCTGCTTGTTTTAATTATTTGCAATGGTTAAGATACAAAATGCATTTTTATGGAGTTTTACTTTAAATAAAGCACAGCTGGGGTTGAATGCTTTTTTATAATATGTCTATATGTAATCACAGGAGGTCACCTTTTTGGCACACACTTTGATATTAAACTGGATATAGCAGTTTTGTAGTGCCCTTAGCATAATTTAATTTTAACCTCTATGGTGATGAGAACAGTGGTAGTTATTGCAGGCAATCTTAAGAAAGGGTTTATCTAGATACCATAATAGTTATGTTTGGCACATGTAGACAAACCTATCAGAAGCCAGCTATCTTTTAGGGTGGCGAAACATAGGCCCAAAGACCAAATTGGATTTTTCTATGTAGTAAAATAATATGAAACAATACAAAGGGCCCATCTCTCCCCCATACATATTTACTGTTGTTGTACACATCTGAACTAAAATGATGCAGATGGAGGAGAATTTGTATACAAAGGAGCAAGCATCTATGTCTGCATAAAGATGTGCACATCTTTCCCCCCCCGCCCCCCTCAGTGCACCACATTGATCAGTTGGAAGTTTGCTACATAGCCTTTTGAGGGAGAAAGATTCTTCATCCTAGTTGCAAGATGGTCAGTGTGGTACAGTGGTTAGAGGACTGGACTAATATCTGGGAGACCAAAGTTCACATCCCCACTCTTCCATAGAAATTTGCTGGGTGACGTTGGGCTAGTCATGCACTCTCAACCTAATCTATCTCACAGGGTCGTGGGTAAGGGTAAAATGCAGAATGATATCAGGCACTCTGAGACCCCATTGGGGAGAAAGGTGGGGTATAAATTAAGTATATAAATAAATAAGGGAAGGGATGAAGTTAATACAGCTTGGCTAGCTAGTGCAATGTGCTCCTTTACCCCAGAGCATACTAAAGCGATCGAAGTGTACAGCCACATAATATCTCAGTCCATATATATGCTTCTACCACCCTGTTCTGTATGTCTCCATACCCTCTCCTATCATAGATTTTACAGTGAAAAGGACAATATAAAGACAACAGAAAAATCACTGTTAATTACCAAATCCAATCCATTTTATTATTCTTGGCTAGACAGAATATGTCTTAGCAGTTTATCTAACTGCTCAACTGAAAACCCCAAATAACAGGAACACTGTTCCTGCTTTAACACTATGGTCGAATCTGTATTTGCATTTTAAATCATTTTCATGCTGCTGTGACGCCGTCTTTCTCTATGCTTGTTTGAATGTTGTTTGGAGAAGGTTCTTTTAAAGCAGTGTGGAGGTGCAATGACAGTGGAGCCGCCCCAAAGGATGATAAACATATGTGGACTTGCGGAAAGTATACTAGCACTGTTGAGGTGTGAAAATGACACCAAATGTAGACAGCTTTTTTGAAGATGGAGTCAAAAGGCTGGGACACTGGTGGGAAAGACAAATGCAGATTCCGCCTATGTTACACTGACAAACCTTTAAAGAACATCAAGCTGGTTATGTGCCCTCATTTTGCCAATAAGTAAAGGAATTAGGAGCAAAGACTATTTTACAGGGCAACAATTCCACTCAATGGAGGTTACTATTTACTTGAACAAAATTATTTTAATCTTGTTTCTTTACTTTCATCATTACCTGGCTTATTTTGCAGACCTAAAACCATCAGTGTTACTGTTTTCTGTTTTGTTACATTTTAATACATACCTATTATAGTGAAAAATATACATGACACACTATATAAACATATCATACATTCTGCTGCTCCCTCATGTGCATTCAAGAAACACATCGAGGCTGCAACTAGTAGGAAGTTATTCACAGCTGCTGAAATCAATGGGGCCTTGAATTCGTGGTTACATCCATGTTGGATTTTATAGTGAAAAAAAGCTGGCTTTCACAGGACTTGAGCCTAGGCCTATAATGCACAATATTCAGCCAAGAAAGCAGTGCTCCTGCTCAGACATCAATCCATCTTCTATCTCAAATTGCACCTACATGAAGGACACTTGAAGCACAACTAGCACTGAAGAGGGATCCAGATATCTCTGCTGAAGGTAGTGGGCCTATTATAGAAATATATAAAAACATTTTCTACATGCTCAGATTGCTTTATTTTGTCACAACAAGTCAGCTCCCCCAATGGACTGTAAAAGTACACCTCTCTGTGTGGAATGTGATGATGCAAACACTGCCACACCTATTAGTGTCTGTGATGTAATGAGCATTACAGCCTGCTCTGGCAATTGTGTAAAGGTTCTGACTTCTTTAGCTACCCTACATCATTGGAATATTCACATAGTTTTGTGCTTTTTAAGTGATTAAATTAAGACCTCCTCCTAATTTAGCAAAAAACCTAGCACTTTATTAAGCTATTTTTTTTAAAGACAAAGTCAAATATACAGATCTACTTTCCAGTCCTGAAGGGCACAGATCCCTTGACTGACAACATCCACCGGCAACAACACCTACACCCACTCCCTCCTCCTATATAGCGTGGACTGGATATCACTACTGCCTTTGAATTGAGACTAGAGGCTGGAGTTCACGTTGATCGTGAAGATAAGTCCCTCAGACTCACGTCGCTTCTTGCCCTTAGATCCTCCCTTTCCCACGACGTGTCACTGCTCTGTTTATCCCAACACTACTACTTTCTCTTGGCAAGGTAAATTGCTTCGGCTGTCTTTTCCGCCCTTTCGAATCCGTTGCCATAGCGATCTCATGGCCTTTCCTTCATGAGCCTCAGCGCCCCCTTTCGTATCACTACAATCCTTCAACGCCGCACGGTCTCCTTTCGTGCTGTACAGGTCTTGTTCCCTTGCCGGGGCGTTGCCTCAATCATACCGAAGGCCCGGTCATTGGTGACCTGAGCACGCGGTTAGGGCCGCCGCGGGTCCGCCATGTTTGTTACTGGACATCGCGCAACCCGTCCCAAGCGGCTCCAGAGAGCCTCTCCAACTTCTGCTGCCTTTCAGCGCGATGGGGGGGGGGGGGCCCGCAACGGGGGGGGCAACAAATGCAGTAACACCGCAGTGCTCAAAATATTTAGTTCCAAAAAGATTACGCGAACTCTGATTGACGAACGCTTATGCTGGTCCTGTTTTATTTTGCTTCCTCGTCCGTACTGATTCAGGTAACTGTGGGACTGTCTTTTCTTGGGAAATATCCGCGGTTGCTCTACTGAAAGGCGAAGGAGGGAGAGGAGACCCGCGGAGAACAAGCGGAACTAAAGGCACTGCGCCCAGTAGCTATGCGCTCTGAGGAGCCAATGAGGATGAACTTTGTGCTTTTTCTGTAATTTTTTCCCTCGCTTGTTGTTTCGGTCCGGTTTGCAGTAAGCATTAAAGATTTAAGATATAGTAAGAGGTTTTACGTAAGGTTAGCAATCCCTATTAAATGAGACTTGGGTCTGTTGGAAAATCTCTATAAAAAGGCAATAGGGTTGGCCTCAACTGGTATAGATTGAGAGTTTTAAAGAAAATTGGGGGAGAGAATTCTCAGGGATTTCTTGAAAATATAAGAAATCCTAGATATGTATAAGTGGTTTATTCTACAAAAATGTCACTAACTAGTTTGGAGCGGAATGGTGGAAAGAGGATCTAGTCGACTGACCAAATATTAAGGCAACATAAAGTAGTCTAGAGTGGGTACTCCTTTGCCAATTTTGCTTTCTAGAGATGCACTGTCTCTAGTTCTATTTACCATTGTAAGGAAAATTGTAACTTTGTTGGGTTTAGAGCTGAGGATTTATTTCTGTCTGTGTTCTATCCCTGTGGTGTTCCAAGATGAAAAAACTACCAGAAGCAAAACATTCCTAACCCTTCAATCCAGTTTGGGATATTCCTGGTTCATGAAACTTTACAGTGGATGTTGCTGTGTCATCAAATGTATGGGAGCATCACTCACAGCATATGTGTGAAACACATTACTTCATGATGGCTTTTCCAGAGCCAAAACCAAAGAAACCTGAACTGCCTAAGAAACTGCTGGGCACATTGCAATGTAAACAGGGAGCTGTCAGAGCTGTAAGGTTCAATGGTGAGTGCATCCTCAATCCTGCACAGTGGACATTGGTACATAATTATTAGGGCTAAAGAAGCTGGGAAAGAGAGCCCTTGTTTTATGATCTTCAAGGAAACTGGGATCTATTGTGTGACATGGCCCCAGTTTTTTTTAGTGATTTGTTAGATCAAGAAAGTTATTGCAGTGGGTGTGGGGAGGTGCTGAGAAAAGGTTTTTGACTGCATGGGAATGGTGCGGTCAGTGTAACTCAGATGGATAATATCACAGGCTGGAATGTGACTTGTGGTGTTCTTAGTAATAACAGCTGTGGAAGCACTGCTTGTTGGGAGATGTAGATGTCTGGTAGCACAGAAATCAGGAAGTAGAAGGGAGGAGATTTGGCCTGGGCCTAGTTTATTTTACTAAGTGATGCTGCATTTGTTTTGTTTTGCTTGTTTAACTTAAACAATAAATCTGGTTTTGCACTTAAATTGTACTCAGTAGTTTGATACAACAGTAGTGTAGTGATTCTTAGCCTTTCTTCTTCTCTTTTTCCCCAAGTGGATGGGAATTACTGTCTCACTTGTGGCAGTGACAAGTCACTCAAGCTCTGGCACCCCCACAAAGGGACTCTCCTCAAGACATACAGTGGCCATGGCTATGAGGTACTGGATGCAGCAGGGTAAGAGATGGGAGATAGGGATCAACTTCTGTTACAAAAGGAAAGAACATTTGCTGTGGAACACCATTCAGAAAAACTGAGATGTTAAACAGTCCCCTTGTTTAGGTTAAGTCACAACTTTTGTCCTTTGTCTGGACCTTTGAGAGGACAGGGCTGTGTATAAAAAGTTGCACTGTTAAAAAGCTGAATTCTCTGAGTTGTATGTATTGGGCAACTTAAGCAGATGTACATTCATAGGCTTGGATCCTTCTTAGAATTTCCGCAGGTGCACAGAGAGGAGGTAGGATGATTTTCACTAGTGCCCCCACTCACCCATATGAAACATCAGATTCACCTGTCTCCCAGGAGCAGCATTTTTATGGTTGTTTTGGTCTGTTGCAGAAGGAAGGAATCTGCAAAAATCGCATCCCTCTTTGTACCTGAAGAAATTATAGGCAGGATCCAATCTCTATTCTTATTTTGAAAAACAGGTTCTATTCCTGCTATTTACCAGGTGAAACAGCTGCAAAAGTGGGTGGGACTGTTGTAAGGCAGGGCTGCCCTGATTCATACAAGTGAGTTTTCTACTCAGGGAACAGGAGGATTGGTAAGCACCTGGAATTTCCTTAGTCATTGTTGGATCTGTGTTGCACACCTGTGTACCTAGCCCTACTTTCTCAGTTCTTCCTTAGGAGGGAGGGCTCCATCTCCTGCAGGAACCATTGGGGGGTTTCTTACCCTCCTGTGGCAGCCATTTTGGGATGGCACTCATCACCCCTTCTCAAAATTCCAAACAAGCTTGCAGGCTCAAAAGGTCTGGGACCCCTGCCCTAATGCTACCCACTGATCGCCAAAAAAGAAAGTCCTATTTTGCCTTGAAAACTAACAAACTAAATTTAACAAGCTTGATTAGGTTGAGTCTGTGTCATCAGATACAGTAAAGTGAACTTTCGCTATGCAAGATTCACCAAAAGAAAAAAATATGTGAACAGTGTGTTAAAATGCCTGGTTTGTAATATAACTGTTCTCTTCCCTCTGTGGGCCCCTCTATATACACATTCAAATCTATTTTTCCTACTTTTGTGACTTTTAAAAAATGGAATCTAAGTGTCTCTGACAGAATTCTGCACCTACTGCTGAATTCTGTGCTCTCTCAGTTCAGTTGAGAGAGCCCTGGGTCTTGACATCCCTTGAATTAGAGTAGGAGATGTGGAAGCCCAAGAAATGACATTTCTGTTGCTGCTGTTATCCCTCATCTGTTTCTCTTCTCCCATAGGTCATTTGACAACAGCCAGCTTTGCTCATGCGGATCAGACAAGACTGTTGTGCTATGGGATGTGGCAAGAGGGCAGGTGATTCGCAAGTTCCGTGCCCATGCAGGGGTAAGACTTGTTCTGTCCTTTTTGGGTTTCAGGGAAATGTCTCCACTCTTATTCATAACAAAGTGAATTCCTCTGGACTTGCAATGAGGGTTAATAGCTCTGTACTCTGTCTTGCTAGATCAGGCTGTGTTAGTGACTTTGTCTCTTTGAAAGCCATCGTCTCAGGAAGCACATGACATAGCTGACCCATTGTCCATTATCATGGGAGAGGTGTGTATGGAGGAGATAGAGAGTTTTAAGGACAACTTAAACCTTTTGTGGGATTGCCAGGCTACTTAAACTGAGAGACTTGGACAGTGAAACTGAGCATGTAGGTGCAGAGGGCAGGGGCTGTGACCATCTCCCCCACAAAAAAGATACCAGCTGTTTTGCTAGTTGAGGGTGAAATTAAATAAAAGTTACTCTGTGTTGTCTATGAGAGTACTTTGTGTGTCAGTATTGTGGGATGGGAGTAATACTGGAGGCTAGAGCTCTGTGGAAATAACACAAGTATGAAGGGTTGAAGTGATCGGTGAGAAGGCGAGTAAGAAATAAGTTTTACAAAAGGTCATGCTCAAAAGCATACTTGAGTCAGATTCCCAGGATGAGGAAGTTTATATGTAGCCTTTGGGAAAGCACTTGTCCCTAATCTCTTCTTTCTGTCTGTTATTGGGCAGAAGGTAAACTGTGTCCAGTTCAGTGAAGAGGCTATGATCTTGTCAGGTAAGGAATGCTTATTTTCTTGCCAGTTGTTTCCAGATAATTGGTTTTCTTGTTTTACTTAGTTGGGTTTTTTGTTTGTTTGTTTGCTGTCTTGCAGGATCTATTGACTCCAGTATTCGCTGCTGGGACTGTCGTTCACGCAGACCAGATTCCATCCAGATACTTGATGAGGCCAAAGATGGCATCTCCAGTCTGAAAGTGTCAGATCATGAAATCCTTACAGGATAAAGAGAGGTAAGGTGGAAGAGGTATCTGGAGCTGGAGAAGACAAACTCCGTGCTCTGCTGAGCTCAAGCCAAACTCTCATGGAGCCTATCAAGCACTCCCAACCTTTTTGGCTCATCTGTAGTGGGCTATGAGAATGACCCGTATGACCACTATTGGAATACAGCATTCAAAACATTATCTTTTAACATTAAATCCTGTAGCGTGTACAGATTTGAGAATTTTTGCTTACTTTTTATGCAGGTCAGTTGCTACTAAATGCTTAGAAATCAGAGGATACAAGTTCACATCAGTGAACATCTTTCATGTTTTTGCTGCTGTATTTTTTTGTTACATTCCATTCCAATAAAACTTTGCTTTTAAATTTTTGTTCATATAATAAAACTTTTAATACGACAAGCTCATTTAAACACAAAGCTTGATCCAATCCACCATCGGCCCAGCAGCTGCATGACAGGCCTAGTTTCCCCCTCTGTCCACTGTCAAAAACAAATTACTTCCAAATTTTAGTTGACAGTACATGGTATTTGTGTACCAAATAGTCTCAGTTTTGTCACTTTCGTCCATCTCCAGGAAGTTTCTCCTTGTTTTCATCTCTTCACCCATATCCCCTAAAAATTACATGTCATCAATTTTCTGTTTACTAACAATATAGCTATTATTTGGTTTACTTCTTATTCTTAACAGTAATATTTTTGTACAGTCCTTCTAGTAATAGTAAACAGCCTAGTCCTTGGAGCAAAAATTTTGCTTCCTGGAATGCGCTTTGTTTCTTGTCTTCTGCTTTCAGTTTTATCTATTCATTCTTATCCTGTTCTGCTTTGCCATTCATGACAGAGTAGAAAGTTTTCTGTATGTTCAGTGTTCCCTAGTATCAAACCTGTGCCCTGCCCCAAATGTACATGCTTAGCTGAAGTCCCCACCATGAGGTAGTGAGAGAAGAACCGAGCAAAAAATTAACAATCCTTTGGCATTCCTTAGTAGTCATTTAGGGGCTCTCTATCAGTAGGGCCTCACTCCTGCCAGGCCAGCTTTGGAAAATACCTTTTACTCATGTGAGGAATGATTTGAATTGCAGTTTTAGGTGATCAGGGGAATAGATATTTTCATTCAGCAAGTGCTGCTGGTCCCTCTTCTTAGTCCCCCTGGGGCCTTTCCCCTTAAACTGCTCAAAATGTTTAAATTGCTCAGAATATTTTTTCTCCAAACACACTATCTCCACATGTAGAATTTTTGCAAAATTTGCAATTTATACACACTTGTATAAAGGATGCAAACAGTAAATACATATGGCTCTTCCCCCATCTCAACAATTAGGGTCTGTAATATTAGAATCAGAGGGCTTACAGTACAGAATTTACTGCCCTGGTTGATTAGCGATGACTCCCTCTCCTTTCTCAGTTCTGTAGATGGACGTGTCCGACGTTATGACTTACGCGCTGGAGAGCTGTGCTCAGACTATATGGGAAGTGAGTGTGCCGAACTCCATCTGCAAATCTGGTGCCTTGTTAGGCGTCTCTGACTCTCCATGTTGTAGAATTGACACTGGCCATTTCTGTTCAATAGACTTGGTACAGATTCAGCTTGAAGGATTGTTGTGAAGCCACATCTTTGATCTTCGGTCACATGTTGTTCATCGACTCCAGTGGCAGGGCAGAATGCAGCTGACTTGATCCCTGCAAGTTGCTATCCCTGTCTGTCTCCCTTTGGAATTGTCAGCATTGGGCAAAATGCCATCACAGTCCTAGGAGCACATTACAAAGACTTTGCTCATCCTCTTGCTCCTCCCTACACACACACTTGAAATGATGGAATCCAGCACTGCTATCTTATTACTACAGGTCCCATCACGTGCGTTTGTTTCAGCAAAGATGGACAATGTATGCTGGCTGCTAGTTTGGACTCCACGCTACACTTGTTGGACAAGGACACAGGCGAGATGCTGGGAGAGTGAGTAATAAATGCAGCAACCCCATTGTTGTCAGGGCAGGATATAGGGATCATATTAATCCAGTGCTGAAAGATTTGCACTGCTTTTTCTAAATAAACCAATAATAAATATTGTGATTCTGGTCTAATGTTGTTCCCCAAGTATCTTGACTCAAGGAAACTGCAGTTGTACCAGATGGGCTGCTGGGGAGAGCCTGGCTGTTCTGTATGGGAGAAATGTTCTTCTCATTCTCTTCTGAATCCCCCCCCCCCAAAAAAAAATGTCTCTAGATACACAGGCCACAAGAACGTAGCCTACAAGATGGACTACTGCCTGAGATACGCATATTGGGAGCTGCTCTGAGGATGGCAAAGTGTATTTCTGGGACCTGGTTGAGGTGAGCATAATTGCCCAGGGACATCGTGTGCATTCTTCACAGGCACCCCTGTGATTTCTCTTTGCCTCATGCCAGCAGACCTATAGATATCATTGTGTGCTATGGAATCTATAGAGAATGAATTCCCCTCAGGTGGACAGGGTAATATTTAACCCTGGAGAAAGAAACTGACAGTCTCTCCCCCCACACTACCCATTAGTCATGGTCTGTGGAAAATGACACATTTCTACTCCTTAGCCTGGTTGAGAGAAGGAATAGTAGGTGGTTTGTCTGGCCTTAGCTGTCTTGGGAGGGCTGCTAACAACATAAGCAGGCTGGCAGCAGAGTTGGTGCAGAATATTTTTAATCCTAGGAGTTGCCAATCATCCACCTGTTGGGTTACAAAGAACTTTATTGTGGGTAAAGCCTTGCCAAATGCTCAGTTTTGATCGATGCAGGGCAAATAACATTTCGGTAGCCAGCGAGGTTCATGCACAAGTGTGCATCACTTCTGTTGCTGGGCATTTCTTTCCTTGTCATTGAATGTGTTAAACTTGGATGCTCCTTCCCAATCTTGCTTGTTCAGCGATAACAATGACTCTGCTTGGCTCTCTTCATTTTGTAAAATTATAGGGGGAAGAGAGAGGTGATAGTGTTGTGTGTCCTGGGCTTACTTTTGCCATGTTGAGCCTCTTGCAGCATTAATGGGTGGTGATCTCTTCTAGTGTGTAAGCAATGCAACCGCACTGTAGATGGGACTCTCAAGTTAAGTCTCTGTGAGAAAGGTGGACTATACATGAGGTAAATACTCCAGGTCTGGTGGCAGAGGGACTGGGGCATGTATATCCTCCAGAGTTCTTGTCTTCCTAATGTCTGCAACTGTTCTCTCTCATCATAGGGATCCCTGGCTACGAGCTCACCTGTGAGTAACAGTGCTGTCCAGTCTCTGTCCTTCCACCCAACTGAGGCTGGCTTGCTCACTGTGGCAGAGGGCCTTGTGCAGCTTTGGAGGGAGGAGTCGTGCATGGCAGAGGAGGAAGGCCCGCCTGCTCGATCTTCATCGCTAGCTCGATGGAACAGAGAACTCCAGATGCAGGGATTTGAGATGCTCTAACATACCTTTCATGCGAAGCATCACATTGTGCTCAACTGTCTCTGGAAAGGGGTGTAGCATCAGACTAGGACTATTCACACACTAGACGTCACGTCTTCAAGAGGGCTAGCCCTTTTATGCCTTTTGGTGGTTTAAGAAGAGAGGCTTCTTTCTCTGCTAAAGTTGAAATATGTCCTACCTCTTCGGGCTGTCACTTTGCAATTCCCTGTATTACAACTACTAATTCAAGCGTAATGTTCCACAAGGGTAGCCATGTTAGTCTGTTACAGGAAAATTGACCAGGAGCCCAGTGGCACCTTAGACACTAACAGTCTAAATTCCTGTATAAGCTTTTGTGGCTCAGAACTCACCACCAAATGTGATAACATGACTGTGACTCAAGACAGCTTATGCTGAAATATATATTATTAGTCTTCAAGGTAGCACTGGGCTCCTGCTTAGTCCCTCTTTGTGATGGGTTTTATTCTTGAGTCATGCTGCAGCAAAGTAACTTGGTTAAAGTCAAAACACAGAAGCCCTATTAACTAGGTTAATACAACTAACAGTACACATGCATTCCTTTGTATGACTTTTCACAATTCATGAGTTTAATATGCTAGAGAATGCAAGAGTTGTGTTTCAGCTGCAGCTGCTTAGAACCATCCCTTTCATTAAATGGTTGCGGTATTAAAATGGGCAGAAGGAAACAACCTCTGTGCTTTGGGTACTTGGGTACACACCATGGTGTAGTTTTCTGCATAATTTTAAATGTATTGTCTCAGTGCTACAGATAATTTTGCTGTGTTAATATGCTACATTTTTGTATTTTAACAATACTAATCAAAAATCAAACTGTTCATGGGGCAGAGAATAATTTTTCTGTGGTGGAATTCAAATCCTTCCTGTTTCCCACGTGAGGTAGTGTGGAGATGACAGGGATGTCTTCTATTAATCTGTAATTGTATATTTTCCCTTGCTTCACAAAAAATCCTGGAGGTGTTCTTCTCTCTTCCAGGCTTTCCCTCTGCCAAATGTGTTGTCTGAGTGATATGGTTGGAGTAGCCATACTTCCTTCCCTGTGTGCATTTGCCTGTCCAAAGGGTATGAATTTGCAGGAAAGCATTCTTCTGCCATCTGTAGTGTTCCCAGGTGTGTGGGAATTAGAGGGATTCCACATAGAGTGATGGGTCCTGTGCTTTTGTTCCTTCCCATGTTTTATAGGTGGTGGGGATATGATGGGAGGCATGCCAGCTTCCATATGTTGTGCTTCATCAAAACATTATCCCACCTTTCTTGCCACAAACAGTAACTCAAGGAGGCATACAAAGCTAGCAAACCAAGAATATCCACAAATTTTAAAACACTGTAAAAATTTAATCGGCACCACAGGATAGATCTCATTCTTTAGATTCCAGGCAATCCACTACAACTTTCTGGGTACACCCAATGGAAAAAAAATACTAACACTATTTCATCTCAGTACCTTTTAAACAGTCTCCAGGTGCAAGGTGCCAAAATAATATAGAATGGTCTGTGTAAAAAGCTGCCTAAAGATACCTTCTGGCCACAACTGAAACTCATCCCAGCAACTACCGGCCAGAACTCTGAGAACATTCTTTGATTGTCATGAAGAAGTAGTGGCATCCCAGATCAAAAGAAATGTGAACAATTTTTTCAGCGTTTTCTTCTAAAATACTGTGAGCAGCAGGTAGGATTTCTCACTTTCTGCAAAGTACCCAGTAGAACCACAGCAGCACAAGTATGGCCTTTGATACCCGTTGGTGCCCCATGCAAAATGGGAACGGCGACACCACAAGCTCACTGGGCCCCTTTCTAGTTTCTGTTTTGCATTTTTAGCCTGCCCTGGAACAGCAGACACTGTGTGTGTGTGTGTTTTTTTCTCCTATTCCATTTTGCCTTGTGAGGTGGGTTAGGCTTAGAAAGAGCTGGGCCCAGGCCATGGCCCAGAAGGGTTTTGAACCGAGTTTTCCTTGGTCTCAGTCCAACACTCCAGCCACTGCACCACACTAATGCTCTTTTCAGATCTCTGAGTTTCATCAAATGCCCAGTTTTGTAAACTGCCAGTATTGACCATAACTCAGATACACAAACATCAGAAACAGCAGATTGTAAAATTATTAGATTAACAGCTCATCTATAACCCATCAGTGTTTTCAAAGACACTGTTCCTAGTAGAAAACCTGTATTTGGGGAGCTGTATGTAAGGTGGAAAGCAAGTTGGATGGCTTGGCAGAATTTAAGGAAGGAAATACAATTTGGGGGAACCTGAACTTTGACACGAATAGGAATTTCCATTTCAAAGGAAAGTGTTCAAAAACAGCTGAGTTGTTATAGAATCTGATTCCTATTGGTAATTTTCTTCTTCTGAACCTAGCCAGTTTATAGTTTCCTCTGCTGTACTGTATTTTTAATTGTTGTTCTACATTGATAGTGCCACAGATGGTTGTGTTTTTCTTGTAATCGTTTAGGTAATGTATCTAGGTTCAGAGCCGCATATGACAAGGTAACTTATTTTATGTTAGCAGGTATCCCAGCATAGCCTATATGCTTGCACAACAGTGGGCCAGAAATTAATCACAGGTGGCACAACTGGACAGCTCAGCGGATTGCAGTATACCCTGGAAGGAGCTTCCTGGCATGTTTCATCACATTGTTTGAACCAGTTCTCCAGGGTTGGGAAAACAGTGCTGTCCAGTCAATGTCATTGTTCTCAACTGGAGATACTTCATTCCAGGGACATCTACATAGCACCTTGGCTTTTAGACAAAAATATTATTCCTTAATTTAAAAAGAAAAGTGTGCACATTTTAAAATAGCATAAATTAAAAATAAAATTGGTTATTCCAGTGTTGAATTAATGACAATGGTTCAAATTTTAAGAGCAGCTGAAATATACTTGGCAACAGCCAGAGTGATGAGAATTTCATTTGCAGACTGGAGATTATGTGATAATCATCTGGACTGTTGGGGAACGTTACAAGAAAGGGGGTTATCAGAAGAGCTCTTAATTTACCATAGAATTTTCATGAAAGTTTTCAGGGATCCGAAAGCCCTGTGGACAGATCCTTTAGCCATATGAAGTCTTAGAGAATCTATCACATAGGTCTAAAAATTGTAGAAATGATGCCACACATCTGGGAGTACCAAACAACGCTTAAAGAAAAGATGATTGGATGACTTCCATAGTGGACCCAGAAGCCTGGGTCTAAATGGGGACCCCATATAGGAGTTGGTGTGTAATTTTGCCTGAAACACCTGTACAATCGATGTGTCAGCTGCCAAGTGGATCTAGTACTTATTAAGATACAGGAGGAGTAAGGAAACCATGAGAGAGGCTTGAAATAGTAAACCTAGATAATTAAGCAAAGAAACCAACAAGAGTTATGCAAAGGATGTTGGGAAGAAACCAGTAGGCATGCAATTAACTTCTGCATAAACCTTGAAGTGCTATTAACACAGAGAGGGGGAATACAGCCTAGTTTTCCATGCCATTGCTCTGATCTGGGGTCTCATGCTAGTGTTCCATGTGCTGGAAAAGTGCAAAACCTACAGTAAGATACTTTTGGAACTCCAGCTTCTAGCCCTAGCTCTGTTGGAAACTGCCTCTTAATTCAGGTTATCTCCCCTAAGGAGTGTTACAGATTTGCCTTCACTCATCACCCGGGAACAAGAGGGGGATCAGCACCAAAGCCACACGACTTATCAACCTGCCCTCTTGTCCTTGTTACAGTCGATACTATTTTTAAATTGGATGACATTTTGCAGCCTAAAGAGCAACAGAGTTCAAAGGAATCAAAGGTCATTGGGCACTAGAGGAAGATCTATTGACTAGCTGGCAGCTATTGCTACAGAAGTGAACAACACAGAGAAAATTCTTCCCTCGCAGAATTCAAGAAGTGAGGCACAGCTACTGAAGGCCAGGGGTTGCCTTCCATACTCTCAAGGTGAGTGGCCAGTTTTCCCCCCAATTGCTGTCCAAACTTAGGGAATACTAAGAAGGTAACAAGGTTCACTCCAGGTTAAGGCTAGACAAAAGAAAAGGAGTCTCATATCTTTTTCTGTACCTCTAATAAAAGAATGGGTGGGTACAAAGGCTGGCTTCTTGCTTTTGAATCGCAGCAGAATGTTAAACAGTGCAGTTTGTGATGCTAGGACCACTGGGTTTAAGAGATCATTGCTTTTGTCTTGCCTCTTCGGAAAGTTCCAACAGCTGAAAAGGCGAAGAAGATGTGACCAGTGTCTGGATTCTGACACCAACTCTATCACTCAGTGTCTGCCTGCTCAATGTTTGGCACAGGCATGCTTCAAGCTCTGTAAAAGGTTCTGTTTTAGGGGGAAGCAGGTTATTAGGGAACCAGGAAAGAGAAAGACAGGCAGCCCACAAGCCCAAAACTGCTGCTTCCCAATAGCAAGGCAGAGATACCGGGTGGCAACTGAAGGTTACCTTTGGCCTCATGCCGATTGTCCTGTTGCTGTTCCAGGCTGTCTGCCCTACTGAAGACTCTTGTTCTGATGTCCGAGAAAGCAGCCAGCTGCACCAATGTCAGTCAGGGCCGTCAGGCTGTGAAACAGCTGCAGGCTGAGGCTGGGTTGGAGAGGATGAAGGTAATTGAGTGAGTCATAAATCCTACTGGGACTGGGGGTTTGAAAGAAAGAAATGGCACCCTCTGCTACAGCCCCACATGAAAGAGCAGAAAAAGTCAGCCCCCTGGGCTGCATACTCCTACATGGATAAAGATCCAGGATTCCTGGGATTTATGTCAGAGGAGCTAGGAACAATATGTTCTGCTACCAGCAGCTAGACGGGGTAGTTAGAAAATATACCCATCATTTTCCCTCTCCAAGAGGTAGGCTAGAACACAATGATCCTACATAGTGCCCAAAAAAATCAAAAGCCAGAGCCAATTTGCAGTCTAAAGGAAAGTAAAATTTAAGTCTCATTTATTTCATTTTGAAACAACTTAATTTGGATCACAATCAGTATGATTTGGCCAAGGATTCTACTTCCGGGGAAATTCCTGTTTGAATCCCAAGAGAATGCAACACCTATAACTTCTGTCCATCTCTCTTGTGACCACCTAAGGAGAAGGTAGCCCTGGGGACATCAGTCATGTCATTTGGGCTGGTGACAGTGAGGTGTGTGTGTCTATACTGCTGCATCATAAGAACAAATCTGAAGGAATAATCCCCCCTCAGAGAGAGCCATCCACGAGGAGGGATGCACTGGCTCTGCATCAGGAAGAGCTTCACCTCATCTGAGAAAACTTCTGTGAATTCAGTACAAGAGAGGGCCCTCTCATCCAGGGAAGCCGTTTTAGTTCACTTCCCATTCACTGCTGAAGTTACAAATAGGGCAGTATAAATCTGCAGAGGAGCTGTGTCAAAATCACAGCTTTCAGGAAACAATATAAATAACAATACACAGTGCTTGTGCTGTACCCTGGAACATCCCAAGTGCTTCACGTACATTATCTTGTAAGATAAATTTTATCTCCCTATTGCAGAGACGGGGGTCTGACAGTGAGAGGAAATAGTTTGCTTATGATCACTACATAAAGTTCTGACAGTGGTTAAATTAAATATAAAAGCCAAGGGCTTAAAAAGAAAATATAAATATACGTATCTTGATGTGAACAGACAGAAATTGTTGTGGAATGTATGTAATCAGCGGAGGCATTGTGATGATTGTGTGCTGGTTTCAAAACTTCCTAGAAACCATTATGGGGATCTCCTCACAAGAACATTCCTATCGGTTTTACAAAGACCTATTTACTATGGGAGAAACCTCTTTATCAGTGTCAAAATCCGAATTTTCTTCCCTTTCGCTTTCTGTACTGAGGACCAGCTCCTCCTTTTTGTTGTTAGAGGTGAAACTGAAACCAGGAACTTCCTGAAGCACAAGAAGCATCATGCAAGATCAGGTCATTAACAAAACTACAGCAAAGATCAGAATGAGGAGCCTGGTGATGAGGACTTCCAAGTCACCTTCCTTGCTAGATTACCAAATAAAACTCAGGAGTTCCAGTTCCCACCATGTGCTCTAATACTGCATTTCTTCCCCAACCAAGAATTAACCCCTGCCCCCCATTCCAGTAGGAATAGCTTAGAAAAACCTTTGTTTTCCTTGCAGGTGTCTATGGCAGCCAGTGACCTGCTGCAATATTGCCTGGAACAAGCAAAGAACAATCCACTGCTGACTGGCATCCCAGCCTCTTCCAATCCCTTCAAGGAGGAAAGGATGTGCACTATAGCATAAGTGAATTAAAGCAACCATCTGAACATGCTTCTCCAGACCCTGTATATAGTTGACCTACATGATTTCCCCAAATTGTTCAACACGAAGTAGGGCTACAGTTTTCCCTCCCCTAACCAGCAAATTGGACAATGCAGCTAGTATTGCTAATCTATATATCTAATTTCCAACAGATGGCGCTGTGTGCGGATGCTTAGTCCCAGGAAAAGGAAGCTCCCTCTGGCCCAGCAAGTTTTCTTACATATTCAGTAGTCTACCAGTGCCTGCAGAAAAATCCAAAAACTAGAAAAAACCCTTCAGGGACGGCTGAATTCCCCCCAAAACCTTTTGAAATGGCCTCTGCAGGGATCTGCTTCAGACACGAACTGAGAGAGAGGTTAGAACGTTCAGGGAGTACATTATCTTGTAAGATAAATTTTATCTCCCTATTGCAGAGACGGGGGTCTGACAGTGAGAAGAAAAAGTTTGTTTATGATCACTACATAAAGTTCTGACAGTGGTTAAATTAAATATAAAAGCCAAGGGCTTAAAAAGAAAATATAAATATACGTATCTTGATGTGAACAGACAGAAATTGTTATGGAATGTATGTAATCAGCGGAGGCATTGTGATGATTGTGTGCTGGTTTCAAAACTTCCTAGAAACCATTATGGGGATCTCCTCACAAGAACATTCCTATCGGTTTTACAAAGACCTATTTACTATGGGAGAAACCTCTTTATCAGTGTCAAAATCCGAATTTCCTTGCCTTTCACTTTCTGTACTGAGGACCAGCTCCTCCTTTTTGTTGTTAGAGGTGAAACTGAAACCAGGAACTTCCTGAAGCACAAGAAGCATCATGCAAGATCAGGTCATTAACAAAACTACAGCAAAGATCAGAATGAGGAGCCTGGTGATGAGGACTTCCAAGTCACCTTCCTTGCTAGATTACCAAATAAAACTCAGGAGTTCCAGTTCCCACCATGTGCTCTAATACTGCATTTCTTCCCCAACCAAGAATTAACCTCTGTCCCCCATTCCAGTAGGAATAGCTCAGAAGCAGCTTTGTTTTCCTTGCAGGTCTCTAAGGCAGCCAGTGACCTGCTGACTGGCATCCCAGCCTCTTCCAATTCCTTCAAGGAGAAAAGGATGTGCACTATAGCATGAGTGAATTAAAGCAACCATCTGGACATGCTTCTCTAGACCTTGTACATAGTTGACCTACATGATTTCCCCAAATTGTCCAACACAGAGTAGGGCTACAGTTTTCCCTCCCCTAACCAGCAAATTGGACAATGCAGCTAGCATTGCTAATTTGCTGCTATTCACAGGTCTTACCAACTGCTTTAATCCAATCTTAGCTATACTTATCGCTCAATTATTTATGCATCTTGACTCCAACGAGCCCTTCATGGCAACTAACTCCCCCCCTCACCTATATGTAAGGCTTGAGGAAGTCTGTTTCAATGTATCTGAAGAAGTGTGCATGCACACAAAAAGCTTATACCCAGAATTAAACTTGTTGGTCTTAAAGGTGCCACTGGACTCAAACTTAGTTCTCACATCTGTTTGTTAACTTTTTAATTTGTATTTATTCGTATGCTAATTTGCTGCTATTCACAGGTCTTATCAGCTGCTTTAATCCTATCTTAGCAATACTTATAGTTCAGTTACATATGCATCTTGACTCCAATTAGTCCTTCCTGGCAACTCACCTGCCAGAGCGTTACTCTCAGGAAATAACTTCCTGGTGGTCCCCGGCCGAAGAGAAGTCCAGCTGTCCTTGGCCAGGGCTTTCTCAGCCCTGGCCCCCGCCTGGTGGAAGGCTCCGCCTGAAGACATCCATGCCCTGCCGGAGTTGTTACCATTCCACAGGGCATGTAAGGCAGAGATGTTCCGCTGGGCCTTCGGCTGAGGACAGTGGCAGGCGCCCTTTGGCACTCTCATATATTTTCCCATCCCTTGAAACTCCTCCCCCCAGGGAGGCTGGGGAGTCAGCACATGCAGGTGTATGGGAAGATATCCTAGCTATACAGTTCAGCTCTTTTCATCATACCCCATCTCTCTGGCCATACAAAAGAGAGGAAACAGAATCATTCCCAATCCCTCTACTCCAGCAGTGGCTATGGAAAGGCAAGATGGCCAGCCTCCAACCTTCAGCCACTCAGTTAGGTTAACGGTTTGAGTGCTTCACCCACCGCCTCCTTAAAAACCATTATCATAGAAATGGTTGTGCATCTACTAGCTGTGCACGAATAACTGCCAGGAGACAGTGGGATGAGTGGTTTTCTTTTTTTGGGGGGGGGAGAAATGACACAAATTGTTATTATGGTTATTTCCTTAGGGTTCTTCCTCTTTCTCTCTGCTGCCTGTGGATGTATTTCCCATTTTCTTTTTATGTGCTTTCACCAACATGCCATGACTAAAATCATGCTCAAACTTTATTAAAAGGCCTGCAAGGTTTCAGTCTTGACTTGAGATGAATCACTAAAACCTGTTCCACAGCTCCAGGAAAGAGTCCCAATGGGCTGCCACCTATCAAGCAGACAGGACTGCTTCAGAATGACAGTGAACAAAAGGAATATAGCAGGGGTGGCCAAACGGTGGCTCGTTCACATGTATTGTGCTGCTCCCGGCAGGGTGGCTGGGGAAGCTAAAAATCATTAGCAAACAAATATCACTGGACAAATAAATATCATTATCAATATCTGCTTTTACCACTTTTGTTATTATTTTTGGCAGGCTCATTTAATGTTAATAAAAAGCAAATTTGCATATTTACCAGTAAAGACATGTAATATTTGTTCATATCTTGTGGCTCTCAAACATTTGACATTTATTCTATGTGGCTCTTACATCAAGCAGGTTTGACCACCCCTGGAATATAGCCATACTGTGCCTCATCTGCACTGTTGGGGGAATAATTTACTGAACTATTGGGTTGCATTAGACTTAGTTCAATCATCTGTCTTAAATAGCTGCATACCTGGGTGCTTCACTTGCAAACCTATAAGGGATATTTGTGATATTTTACTTCTTCATTCCAGTAATTCCTAAGATATAGGACACAGCCACAACCTGAAACTACGCTGTTCTCCTATGTTAGTCAACAGTTGATGACTCCATGAGCAGGGCTTTACATAATCTGCAAAACATACCTCTTAGATCAGTTGTCAGACTAGGAAAATGATTACAAGTACTTTCATCAATGGCTAGGTGAAAGTACCAGTTTCCCCCTCTCATCTGAGACATAACAATCACATTGCCTTAAGCCTAAAATACTGCATGGTACTATACTTGTAATGTATTTTTCAATCTGAATGATGCAAAATGCACAAGCAAATTTTGTTAAGAGTATTGCACTACCAGGAGCCTACTACATCAAGTGAACTGTATGTACAGTACAGAGAAGGTGTCAAAGTCCATAAGCCAGCTGTACCCTACATCCTTAAAAAAACAAACCTCCCTTTCCTGTGTGTTTTTCAGATCAACCAAGCAGGGATGCACTAATGGTACAAGATTCTAGGTGCTCAGGTTGTCTCATGGAAGCCAGAGAACTGGGCAAGCTGTGCCTGCCTGCCTGGGGTCAGGGAAGAAGCATGGCAACCGTCTGTTCTCATGAGCAAGGTCCCAAATGTAGTATGGGGATGGCAGAGAGAATCTTTGTCAGAGAATCCATGATGGCTTTCAGTGCAATTAAGTATACTTCCTTGGCCAAACTAACTCTTTACTCTGTGTTTGCATAACAAAGTATGTAGACAGATATTTATTGCATTTTCATGCTGTTTTGGAATTATTTTCCTCATAAGAAGATTCATCTGGGCTACCTTTTTTGGGGGGGGGGGGGACTAGGCTGGCTCAGCTATGAAAAAGTAAATGAGCTCAGTATCCTAGAGAATTTTAAGGATTAGTGTACATTTGTACTTAGTCAGCTTTCAGGAGTGGGTTTTTAAAGATTGTAATAAAAGCCCTGGCAAGGGATAGAGCTAATACACCAACAAAAATATAAAATATGTATAAAAAGGATTCTAGTACACAATGTGCTTAAAATATACATATGTGCTTTTGAATAATTTCCACATGCAGTTACCAACACTTGGCCCGGGGAGAGCTCAAAAAATGAAGCAAGCAGAGATGGATAAATCCAGTAGCATTATTTGTCTTGTGCATTTGTATCACAACTGCAATACTTGTTACATTCCACAGATCTGAAAGGAATGTGCATCCAAATAAGTGGCTCAGAAGTGCCTCCTTAATCTCTGCCCTATTAAAGCTGGCTTGAAAAATGTGCTGGTACAGAAATAACAGAGCTGATCAGAAAAACTGCACAGCCAAGTTCTTCCATACATTAAGTCTCATTTCTAAACCAAGAACCACAAGACAGCGGCTTTAGAAAAGCAGGTTAAGAGCCATGAGAAATAAACAGTGCACCACCACCACAGATCAGCCACCACAAGAGAACATCTTTAATTAAACTGTAAACATGGATCAGGGTTTGGTGGCTACAGGGTCATTTTTGCCTGATTGCACACTCCAGCCTCTATGCCGCCCCTCCACCTCCTCTTGTTCAAGCTGATGGTCCCAGGACTAGAGCTGTGCCTGGAATGTTGCAGCTATTCGGCTGCAGTTTGCCTCACCCACCACGTGACTCAACTGGCAGCTCTCCTCTGGAATGTGCAGCCAACTTAGCAGTGAGTGTCCACCCAGGAGAGGCAGAGTGTACCAAGTGAGCACCATGCTAGGGAGACACAGTAGCTGGCAGCAGGGGGCTTGGATGTGCACTGATGCACTAATCTGTGTAAGCCCCTGGGACAAGCTCAGGCTGAACCTCACAGATACACAGAGCATACAAAAAGAACCAAAATCTCCACAGGCACCGGGACGCTAGTCCCTGACAGGAGGTTGTCCGAGACACAGAACTTAGCACCCTTGTAGTTGGAGGCATGGATCAGTAACTGACTCTTCATCACACAGGGAGTCTCCAGACCTCCAAAGATAGACCACCTGAGGCAGCAACAGCTATGTTCCCTGCAACGCTGACCTGCAAAAGAAAAGGAGAGGGAAAGTGGGTGCGTAATTAGTCCAGCAGATGGTGCTAATCTCACTGAAGTCACATATACTTGGGTGCCTAACCTCACAGGAAAAAGGTCGCTGCAGATGCTTCCGCCCACAACCTCCTCCGATTCTAAGTGCTCCCTGGTTCCCAGGTAGGGCTCTAACAGCATTGCTATTCCCCATCCAATTGTTCTTACCCCACTTAGCATGCAACTGTGCGTCCGTGAACAGATAGCCTTTGGTGGATCTGTGGGAATATGGATCTGGGAAGAGAAAGTCAAAGGATCCAGGGCTTGAAGCTGGAAGACTGACAGGAATAGGTTACTTTATCATAGGAAATACAAAGACAGAAACGGGGGAAACAGCAGATGAGTCCCCCATCACAAAAGGGCTGAGCCAGGGCAACTAGGACAGAGCTCAGCTCCATAAAAGGGTACGAGACTGATGAAGACACGGAGTATACTCTGAAGGCATCAGCCTGTAAACAGGGACAAGGAAGCCAGCTTAAGGTGGCCCTTGCTCTCCTTCATGATTTCCATTTTAAGCCATTAGTCCTCACTCTCCTTTCACAATTCACAACTGAGCCAAGGGCCATCCTTCTTGCTGTACAAAGTTGAGAAGGACAATAATGAAATTAAGCGTTGCTCCAGCACATACATGATGAGAAGGTACCCTGGACCTAAGCCTGTCTACGGGTCACAGATCCGTAACTTAGGGACAACGCTTACACGCAGTGTCTTGTCCGTGGAAGCTGTGTACAGAGCGCCCAGTGAGTATTGGACTCCAGTGATCTGAGAACGATGGCCAACATCAAAGTGCTGCAGAGAGAAGAAACAGTGAGGCACTGAATGTGCCAAGGCAGCCAACACAAGCACGCTTGCCTCACCTTACTGAACCTGCACTGTCCATAGCAAGGTCCTTTCATTTTGAGGAAACAGCTTTCTAGTTTAGTTCTAGCTTCTGTTGCGGCTGGCAAAACAAAACTACCCCAACTGTTCAAAACTCATGATATTTCTACTCTGAATCTTAGAAGTGTTCTGAAATACAGCTACAATCAACTTCAAGCAGTATATTATCTACACTTACGGAGGCACAACTTACTTTGTGGGTGGCAATGACAAGCCTACCATCCTTCCCTGCCTCCCAGAGATCCACGTTCTCCCAGCATACCCTTACGTGCTGAAAGCTGTCCCCTCGGTTTTGAAACACATACAGCAGTCCATAGTTGTCTCCAGCCCACAGCTGACAACCCTGGTATGACATGCTGAGGAGATAGGAGTCCAGCTAGGGAAGAAAATAAACTGATGTCACTGCCAAAAGTAGGAATAACGAAGGTGTACCAAATATCTGCAGGTAATTTAGTAAAGCAATGAGATCAAGCCACACAAAGTAAATGATGCTCAGAAATGCCTGCCAATATGAACTTGGGGAAATCCTGACACTAAAAATGACAACCAGCATGATTCTGAAGAAAATGGAAGACCTTCTCTCTACAGGGGACAATACTCAGAATAGGGAACAGATGGGTGAGAGCACAAGTAAATACTACTACACGTATTCTTTTTGGCCAAACCGCAGCTGCAGTGCCTTTGAACAATACAAACAACAGCTGCCAAGCTGGACACAATAGAGACGGAGCTTTGTCTTATGATACAACCCTTCCACAAGCTCAGAAGTAATCCAATCAGGGTGGTAGCTAGCATGGGGCGCACAGGGCGATGCCCCCTCCTGAATTCTCAATGCCCCCCAGCCCAAAGATCCTTGCCGCTTGCAGACTCATAGACAGAGGGGGTGGCAGGGACTAGCAGGGGACACCCTGCTTCCCTTATGGGAGCCTAGTGGCCGCTGCCTTTCAACACAGCTTGGCGCGCACACCCCGCCCTGTCAGGAAGGAGGGAGGCCAGGCACAAGTGGCATGCTGGCGGGGGGGGGGGGGGGGGGGGGGCGTACTCGCTCTCCTCACTGTCGGGCACCTCCCTTCTTCTTTCTACCCCACCCCCTCCATCCAGTGTCCCCCAAAAACTTGTCTAGCTATGGGGCTGAATCCAACATCCAAATTTAGAAAGGAAAGCCAAAAATTCTCATTACAAATTCAAGAGAAAACATGCACAAACTGGGCTCTCTCCCATGGAATGTTTGGAATGTTTGGCTATTCAAGAGAAAACATGCACAAACTGGGCTCACTCCCATGGAATGTTTGGCTGTCCTCATTAGGAAAATGAGACTCCTAGATCTCTCACACACCTGCAGCCTCTGGAGGACACTGTTGGCCCGTCTGTCAAAAAACACTACTGTCCGATCCTCACTGCCAGAGATGATGAAGCGCTCGTCAGCTGCAAGGGACAGGACTGCACTGGAATGGAGCTTGCGGCTCTTTACGAGGGGTTGAGAAGCTGTAGGAGAGGGTCCAAGGGACACATCACAAGAGCACAGTCACTGACAACAGAGCTTCACAAAACTAATGGCTTGATCAGCTGACACCTCACACATGGTCTCTCCCTAGCGGGTCACAGTACTCCAGTTGACATCACGTTCTTTTCACTGGGAAGCAACCACAAGCAGAAGAGAGGATAGAGCTTCCTCTGGGTGAACTTTGGCGAGCTCTTCCCAACTAATCTGGGGCTAGCCTACTGTCATACAATAGACATTGTTACCTTTTCCTAGCCCAAGCAAGCGCACTTAAGAGCCACTGTCTTCCCACATTAAATTTCCTACTTAAGAAAGCAGTGTGATAGGGTTGAATGCCAACTATGCACATTGTCTTAATGCAAAAGGACCTGGCTGGAAGGGACACACCTCTGCCTTTTCTAACCATCTGTGTTTGTCTTTCTCCTTCCCATTGAAGAAATAAATAGCTTCTCTCTATACCCTCAGCTGCATCAGCTACTTGCAACTGAGCCTGTGTTTACCAAGCTCCTAATTCAAGCTGGGCAGATTTTGTGTTCAATCTTAACTGACTGAAGGGAATGGGTGGATGGGGAGGGGGAATGAAAGGGACAGAAAGTAAAAGGACAACACAAGGAGAAAACACACCGTGGAGTTCCTTTCCAAGATATCGAATGAAAGGCACTGAAACAAGGTTGTGACAGATCAGGGCACCAGTACCACTGACAACAGATGGCACTAACCTCGTGGGTCATATACTGTCACCTTCTTGTCATAGGTTCCTGTGACAAGGATGTCAGGCAGGTAAGAAAGGCACAACACAGCTGCTTTCCCTCTAGGATGAGAAGGAAAAATCAGGTGAAGGCACAGAATGCCCACTTTAAAGTCAACAAACCTCTGCTCAGCCACAGTTCTGCTTGTCGTGGATTACAAGGCTAGTGCCCTACGGGTGTCAGCTCGAGCAAAAGCCTTAATGTCTCTCAATATTGCCTGAGAACCCAGAATACTGAGATGGGTCCCTTTATTCAGTGGAGCATGCAGCAAAATTCCAGGTTCTGCCGTTCTTATTTTAGATCCCCCAAGTACAACCCTCAGGAAAAGTTGCTAGGGCAACATTACCTGATTTCTCCGAACTGCTGCCCATCAGCAGCTATGTCCCAAAGCTTCACTGTACTGTCCCAGGAGCCTGAGCACACCCGGTTGTCTCTCGTAGCCAGCGACCAGACCCATCCCTAACAGCAAAAGAGTTAAGATCTACGTCAGCACTCTCTCCAACTCTTTAGAAGCAACACAATCTCATTCCAGTGGCACACAAAAAAAACACGTGGCCATTCCTTTCACCTACATCTTATTAACAGTAACTGCTCTAAAGCCGGGAATAGTTCCACATAATATGAACAGACCTAGTGCTGACAGCCACCATGATGCAGTGGTTACGGTACTGCAGGGACCAGGGGCTCAAGGCCATGAAGCTCACAGGGTGCCCCCTGGGCCAGCCACACATTCACAGCCTGACCTACCACACAGGGCTGTTATAAGGACAAAACAGAGGAGAGAAGAACCATG